CCAGCCAAACAAAATAGCTCTGGCATCAATTGTCCCTCTTTTGACAAGAATTGTCCGATTTCCTCCCTAAAAGAGAAGCGCTGCAGTGCAGACCCCTGACTGAGCCATCTTACCTCGTTGTGATACACAACATCTCCGTATTCAGCCTGGATGTCAAGTAGAAACTGTTGAAACTGGCAGTGGCACAGGGCTTTGGAGCGAATATAATTAATAGCCTTCATCACCTGTTTCATAACATGATCATATTTCAGATGTTTGGCACAGAAAACTTGTTGGTGAATAATACAGTGGAGTTTTATAGCTTTGCCTCCTTCTTCGCTGGCTTTGTTACAGACTAGGGTTGATAATCCACTTTGCTCGCCAGCCATGGCAGGTGTGCCATCCGTAATAATCCCAGTGACTTTATTCCACGGTAGTTGCATGTCATCTATGGCGGAACAAACAGAAACAAATAAATCTGTTCCTCTTGTTTGGTCCTTAAGGCTCTGGAGGTCAAGTAGCTCTTCACTCACATTCATGTCATTGTCCACTCCTCTCAAAAAAATCAATAACTGAGCGGAGTCAGATGCATCGTCGCAGGCTAACGAAAAAAAGTCAAACTCCATTCCTTTTGCCTCTAACTGTCTCTTAATATCAGATGACACGTCTTCAATTCTCCATACCACAGTGTTACGAGCCAGGCAAACATTGGCAAACTCTTGCTTCTTCTCAGAACAAATTTTCTCCACCATTTTCATCACGCAGTCTTTAATAAATTCACCCTCAGTAAAAGGTTTGCAGTGCTTGGCAATCAGCGTTGCCACCTCGTAGCTCGCCTTTGTGGCATTTTCATTTGACTCACGGGCTCTTGTGAAAAAGTGCTGCTGTGCCGTTAAAGCAGCTTCCAGTTCCTTCAATTTTTCGTCGCGTTCATTCCCAGTTAGCTTGTTGTAGTTAGCATGTTTTGTCTGGTAGTGCCTCTGGATATTGAATTCCTTGAAAACAGCCACAGTCTCTTGGCAAATTAGGCAGACACAGTTGTTTCGTATTTCAGTGAAAAAATACTCCAATTTCCACTTGTCCTGGAAGCGGTGGCCCTCGCTGTCAACTTTCCTTTTTTTAGTTACAGTCGCCATTTTAGAAATGGGCACACAAGCCTTGTGTCACAATGGTCACGCGGCGAGAGTGCTGACTCAGGTCTACTGCCATCTTCTGGTGAAATAGAACCACCAGCCTTGAAGGAGCAGGAGGCAGCAGGGGACAGCTGCGGGAACCGCTGTGTGGTGAAGGGAAAAACGCCGGTCGGTGGGGATGAGTGACAGGCTGAGCCAGCGGGGAGAAGAGGCTGCAGGCCACTCAAAATTTGAAAACGGGCTGCAATTGGCTCCCGGGCCAGACTTTGGACATGCCTGATCTAACAGAATCACCCCAGACCAGGCCATGGCATTTGTTGTGTCACGGGGTTCTCAGTTACAAAACGGGCAACCTGGCCACAAGCACTCTACAAGTCATCACTTTTCTCTGTTGAGTTTGTTTAGGGGTCACGGATTCATTATACACTTCTGTTTTACCAGAGACTCAGAGCTGTGCAGATGTACAAGTAATATGAATATGTTATTTAAAAAACGTGCAGCTTCACTAGACCAACAATATTACCAACCTGCTTCCAAATAAGGTTCATTCTTCTCAAAATATTCAGGTGCAATTTGTCCAAGCACAGTGTGAAAAAGGTGGATATAAGGCAGCTTGGTGATCAGAACCAAGGACTAATAGGAGAAACAAAGTAATTCATGATTAGCCTTTTCAAAAGCCACTACAGCTATTTAGAGAAAATATGCTGCAAATCCTCATCAAATGCATGCATACAGCATTTTGGTTTTTTACATTTGGTATTAAAAATAATGATACCCTTGATACCCTATCAGTGTAGCCACTGGGTGAACCACTGGGTTACACACATACGCAAAGAAGAAGGCACCAAGCTCTTTGGGGGTTACAATAAGCAGCTGGGTGAGGATATGATTTTGTATAAAGGATCACATGGGAAGGATGCTTAATTTTCTCACTGTTTCCCCATACAGAGTTGTACTTCCCATCCCAATTACTTTTCCCCACTGTGGTGTGTTCTTGATGCATATTTCTGCTACCACCCATTTATGTAGTTGGCTCTAAAAAGGATACAGAAAATCCTTCAAATGAACCACACAATCTATAATTCAATCTGTTTTCTTTGTGCACTCATTTCCAGTATCATTAAATAATAGAACCTCAGGAACTGAAGTGTTACTATGTATTACTATGGTTCAGGGTACAAAATATTTTTATAAATAATAATCTGTTTTCACAATGTACATCAATTAAACAAATTCAGATTTCATAAACAACTTAGTGCAGCCGGCCAGAGGAGGGATCAAAGTCCCAACACAGACAACAAGGTGTCCTCCCTCCACCTTGTGGCCAGCATGGAAAGAAAGACACTGGCTGAGGCTCCGAAGTCAGAACATGTCCTCAGAGCTGGGAGCCTGTGTGTGTTCCAGCGGACGGGGAGGGGAGGCACGATAGGACAAATCCTGGCTGTTCCTTGGCCTCCCCTCCTTGTGCACTGGGGCAAAAGTTGTTTGCAGGGTAGGAGTGCAGAGGTGAGTTTAATCTCCACAGTCCTCCTGCTCTAAATAGTGTGCCTGTAATCCTCCAAATTCAGAGAACTAGAGTCAGCCATACCAGATGGCACTGTTAGAAACATCCAGTGAAGCCTCAACATAAACATGCTACATTACACTGAAATCAACACTTCAGAAAACGAAGTTACCTACAAATCAAATGAGTACATAAATTTCAATTTTTCATTTCATGAAAATGGCTCTCTCTTAACAGTCTTGCTTTTGAACGTTCTGGCTTCCAATTTTCAAAGGCACAAGCTAGACAGAGCAACCATTTTGTGCTTATGTTATGGTGAAGCTGGACCAACCAAAGTGCAGGAGTTAGTTAAGACAATATAGCAAGGGGGATATGAATCTCTTTTTTTTAAATAATGGCTTCTTTTCAGCCCAGGATCCATCCTTGCTTTGATCTCTCATTTCTATTTGCCACTGTGCAAGGGCTGGGCCAGGAGAAAGCAGTACAGAAGAGAAAAAGAGTCCAATGTGCATGTTTCCTGTATATTCATACCAAAGCTGCAATCCTATACCCAGTTACCTGAGAATAAACTCTACTGAATTCTGCAGAAACATGTATAGGATTGCACTGTTAACTTCAAACTGTCATGACTTCTGGCCATAAGGAAGGTCTTAACCTGGTTTGCAAGACCATGGTGACCCACTGTGATATTTAAGCCCCTGTGAGCCATATGATATGTCAGCATATGCCAGGCAGTTTCTAAATGTTCAGGCTGCAGCTGTGGCTTGTCAGGTCATCCAAAACCAGGTGAAGGGGGTTCATGAGGGTTAAAGGGTTTGTAGCTTTGTACAATCGCTGCTGCTAGAGTTCAGATGACATGAGAAGCCATGGCTATGGCTTGAATATTCCTAATGGTTGCCTACACATTCTACAGACCACTGTGGAGGAAATAAGATACAGTGCATATTCGATCATACAAACTGGCCCTATATGGAAATATAATACAAAGTGTATCTGTAAGAATCAGATAAATAACAATCTAGTTGTATATTAACATTGCACCATTGTTCTGGGAATATATGAAAAAGTCTCCATGAGATATTTCTGTTACATCACTGGCAATTTTTCTTGCTGGATTTAAATCAATCCACCTCATGATTTACATACTGGTCCTATTCTGAGACTCAACAACTTAAAACTAAAGGGTGTTTGCCCTTAAGTCTTCAAAACATGAGGCTATCCTCCACTGATTTCCACAGAATGATTATATTTAGAATAACAACCTTAAACAGTCTTCCTTAAACTAAGTTACCTTCTGAAAGTAGCCTCTTTTTACTGCTTTGTTTTGTACTTGTCTGAAATATACATAGCCATAATAATATGCAGGATCTTTCTGTAAAGGAGAGCAAACACATTCAATAGCAGTTTGTACTTTCTGAACAGGGTTGAAAGCTTAGATCATCAGATATTTCATCCCTGGGGATAATTTGATTATGACAAGCTCCTCATGATGAGCACTTCAACACATTCCAGTTCCAGTTATTATAATACATGCCACTGTAAAAATGCTAAAAGAGTTATTCCATTCAACATATCCAGACACTGCACATGAAAATAAAATTGCTACACCTCAGGAGCCAATATTTCTGAGATGTAGTCAGTATAAGCTACCTTTTAAAAATCCATGTATCTAACCACTTGATGGAGAATGAAGACCAGTAAGGCCATTTCACTAAATTTTTCAGCCAGCTTATGAATTTTTTAATGATTCAAACAAAAAAGCATTCATATTTTTCACTCCATATAACTTGGGCTTTGCTGCTAACCATACTTAAAATCACGAGACATTTCCAAATAATTATATAACATGTAAGCTTTCAATATTCTATTTCCTAAAGGTTGGGGTAGATAGATTACCAATGATGAAACAGCCATGGTTTCGAACTTGCTCTAGGAATCTTTTGCAGTTGCCATTCTGTGTGGGATGGTGTAAATCGGTGACCTGCACAGCAGGGGGTTGGACACAATGGTCTTCTCGGCCCCTTCCAACACTACTATTCTATGAATGACAGGGGAATGTCAGGTATGTTCTAGGCTCAACTGAGGCTCAGCTAAGTGTTCAGCCAGGCACTTCCGAAACCCTCTGCAGTGATCAGAGGTTCTTTGGCAGACAGACAAAGAAAGGGTTCCCTGAAGAAAAAAGTTTCGTAACAATGAAGTGCATCCACATTTCAACCAGGAGCTCCAAAAATCCAGAATAAATCTGGACAAGATTAAGGATTCTTTACTAGTGAGTTTTTTTCAATTCAGAAGGATGTATAATTAACATGTTAATCACTAGAATATTTTGCCATTTCATTTGTCATATGTCATTAGAATAATAGTAATTTGCTGTATACTAGTAATACTAGTAATTTAAAGAACAGGCTTTAGGATGGACCTCATAATTTCGTTATGATGTATCACCACAATAATAGTTGCCAGCTAGGAACAGAAAAGAACTGTCACATTTGAACAAGAGAAAACATGCTACTTTCCCAACCTTCAAGTAAATGGGTAGGTCTCTGTCAAACTGGTCCAGCAGACAGTACCATGAAAGCTTTCTGCTAGAAGACTGTCGAAACCTAAAACAAAACTGCGTGTCTCCAAGGCAGCCTAAGCCGAAAAGGGGAAAAAAGAAGAAAAGTACTATATTGAGTTGGAAGTATGTCCAACCAAGATCTGAAAATATAACTGTTGAGGTACTTGACTGGCTACCTCAAGTAATTAAAAAGCATCTCCACAACACTGATCCTAACCCCATTGCCTTCTGTCATGTTGCATAAACAGCACCAGCAGCAGTTCTGCTGGGGGAAAACAGTGATGTGCTCTTGCTGTGCTTTGAGTTTTCTGTGGAAAGGGGGGAATCTCCCAGACTTGGGCAGTTGTAGCATGATGCTTTATCTACTGAACAAACAAGGCCAGTATGGCCATTGCACATACTCTCCTCCTCTCTCTTGGCAGAAAGAGCAAGAAAGGCGGAGAAAGAGAAGTGGGAAGGAGAGTGTTCCAAGATCAACCTAGCCTGCCCCAGCTTCTGCCAAGTCTGCTGTTGCAGAGGAGGAAACTGAACGCCACCATATCTGTCCCAGTGGTAGACAGCTGGCATCAGAGGGGTGTTGCAGGAGGAGATGATGGGAAAAACTGCTATTCCTCATTTTATTGACTGGAAGAGGGTCATCAAAGCTACTGCCTTAGTTGTGTAAAAATAATTATCAGTTTGCCTATATTCTGGGTTATCGCCAACATTAGTCCTACTTAGAGTAGACCCACTGAAATCGAGACTTTTATTAAGCGCTAACCTTTGGCTTCAAGGAGTTTTGCATAACCTACCACACTTAGTATTTCCTGTTACAGCAATTTCAATTTCAATTAAACGTTTTGTTGCAAACAAGCAGCACCTTTACTTCAGTAGGGTTTAAAACTGCTGGATCAAATTGAGTGAGAGGAAAGAATCTGTATCATTTCATCAGAATAAGGTTCCAAAAGGAGTATTTTTTCAAATATTTCAATAAAATATCTTTGAAGTTTCAAATTGTCAAATACCAAAGGAGCAGAACAAAAATGTTTAAAAAAACAGTTGAAAACTCATTATTTAAAATCCACAAATCCATTTAATGGCAGCAGTTTGAACTACACATTAATTCCCTACATTTCCATCCCTAAGATCCTCTGTTAACATCTTATCTTTCTAGAACAGACCCAACATAAATGGCTTGATTATTTAAATCAACAATGACTTAAAAGGAAAATATCAGTTTTACCAACAGGATTTTTCTTGCAAGTCTGGAATAATAAGCTTTAGCTACCTCCTTTTATAAAGTGTCTCAGAAAGTGGTGGAAAAACAAATTGAACAGGGGATTTTTTTTCCTATAATTTGATCAGTTTTCCTAGAGTAAGATCACACAATTCTCATTAGAATTGACTAATACATCACACAGATCTACATATCCAATATTAAGTCAAAAGGCAATTTCAAAGCTTGGGATACATGAAAAAGCACCTTAAAACATTCTCAGCAATGGAATGTAGCATTATTCATGATGGCTGAAATAAAGTACTGAGAACAGCTTCCAACAGGGTCATTCCTTAAACTCAAGAGTGCCTGTGAACTCTACTAAATCTTTCAGCTGCACAAACACTTGTGCATTTATTTATTTATTTATTTATTTATTTTCCAATTTATATCCTGCCTTTTTCCTACAAAGGCTCAAGGCAGCTTATATCTCACAGAACATGCCTGAGTGGAGCATATGGTCCATGCCCCTGAAAAGTGGCTGTACAACCCTTTGCACAAATGGAAATGTAGTGGGAGTCTTCCCTTGCACACAGTTTGGAAACTATTTTCCAGTTGTGCAACCTTGTTGTGCTAGTGAAATGACACTGTTGGATACCGCCCAGCATTTCAGATGTTAATTAATAATTCTCACTACAGCCAAGGCCATAGCTCTGGGAGGACCTCTGTGAACAACAAGATCCCGTATGATGTTTCCAGATGATGGAAGAAGGCTGGGACTCTGCAGACACCTTTGTTTGCACAAAAGATGTGGAAGAAACTACAGCAGACCAAAGGCTGCCTGAGGAGGCCCCACTGGGCTCCTCCAGTTACTCCTTCAGCCCCATCCTATGTCCTGCCTCAATCCTAAGTCCTCCTCCCTTATCCCACCCCCAGTCTCCAGAAAAAGGTGGGAGCAAACCCAGTGAGAAACTCTTTCATCAGAAGAGTGAACAGCTGGCTGTTTGATGGCTCCACGGCTAGGGGTCCATTCAAGAAGAGAGCTACTTAGAGGAGAGCAAAGACCGAACTCTAAGCAATGTGGCAGTGTTGGATCAGAGAGGCAGAAGAGCTGGAGGCATGCATTATGGAGCCTCCTGCCTTCTCTGAGCCTTTGCTGGCTTTGAGTCCATTAGATCCAGCTCTGGTACTTTCCAGTCTTGGCATCCATACTAGGTGCTGATCCTGGAAGAAGGCTGGACTGTCCTGGGGTAATCTAAATTCTTTCCCTAAAAGTTCAGCTAATAGTGACACTGATGGCAATCCGCTTTATGGAGAAGTAAGAAAATGTATGCGGACAATATTTCTCAAAGTGCTCATTAAAAGGAAACTTGCATCAGCTTCAAGTGTGCTCAACAAAAAAAGAGCGAAGATATTGGGGTAATTAACAAGCATTGTGCACTCATTTTATTAAGCATTTTATTAAATTAAGTACATTTTAAACATATTATTCTTTTTATATTTAGCTCAGTTTGTATAGTCTTGTGCCTAGGTCTCACTCCAAAACTGATGGTTGCATGTTGCACATTCCTAATTGGTCAGATACCTATTGCATGAAGATTGAAAGAACACTTGCTTGAGTGGTATAAATTCCACCTTTTAGTCGCATTCATGAAGTTCCACTGGACCCCCTGCCCCACTTTCTCTTAAACTTAAGTAACTAGAGGAACCTGGCATGAACGTCAACAAAAGATAATCTCCCCAGACTGAACACTAGCCAGAAATGTGTTCCACAAATCATGAAATAATGCTACATGTAAATTAATTAAACCAGTACATCCAAACAGCTCTCAATTCTTCATGCAATCATCTGTTTATTACCATTCCAGGTAATGCAACATACCACATTATGCAGTACCAAACATTCATGGTTCTTCCAAATCCTAAAAATACAGCCCAGCATTAAACAAAAGAAAATTAGCTTAAGTGATCATCAAAATCCAGCAACAGTGACACCCAAAATAAACAGTGCTAGAATCCTCAAATACATTCTTCTTTGTGCCATCCCAACAGTACACATTCACTCCTCGCCTCTATTCCTTGAAATGATTATTCCTATAGCATAAGGACTTCTCTACATGAGGCATTTGTGCACTCATGATCCCTCATGCAGAGAAGTTTGCAGTGTCTTTTTGAGAAGTTTTCCTCCAAGGCCTCCATGTTTTACAGTCTTTATTACCGATTTCTAAGAGCAAGCAGAGTCAGCTATTAAAATGCAGATTACAAATTGGATCAAAAGCTTTGCAAAAAGTTGCAAATCCACTCTACTGCAGGTCTAACACACTGGTGTCTTGTGGTTGGTTAATAGAGTATATAGAAAACCAGAGAAAATACAAGCCTCTGGGGAAAAAACTTGTAAAGGATGTGTTTCTCCTTCCATTAAAAAAGGGAAGATGGCTGAGTAACACAAGAGGTTAAATCCTTCATGCAGAGAAGTTCTGAGGGGTCAAGAATTAAGCAGCAATACAGCACTGCAGAGAGGGGCTGGAATGCAGGCCTATGTTTTAACTAAAGTCACAGCTGCTTCCCTTCATGAGCAGGAATTCAGAACCCCTGCCATTTCTCCCACAACACCATTCACTGGTCACTCATGTCCTTCAGCTACACTAGAGTATCCTAGAGCTATACATATTCTGTAACTGAGCTGGGTGGAGGAGGGGAAACCCACAGTGAAATGTAGTTAAAGAGAGTGTAAAAGGTGCACTGATTCTGAATAAACTTGAAGTTACAACTAACGTTGGTAGTAAAGATTTTCACACAGAAATAGCAATTTTATATATAATACTACCCATGGAACAATTGTCATGACTTGCTCTCAGGAAATTAGCTTTGCACAACAGAACAGAAATTTGTTATCAGAACATGACTGTTAATCAAACTGCCTGAACCTGTGCATTCTCAGCTGAACCATTTTAAAATGGAAGAGGCTTACACAGAATTAAATTCCTTGGGAGGCTGCTTTGCTCTAATGTGGAGAGAATACAGTGTGGTGAGAGTCAGTGTGCTGCAGTGGTTAAACGTACAGGGCCGGAACTAAGCGATCTGGGTTCTAGTCCATGCTCATCCATGGAGCCAACCGGGTGACTTTGGGCCGCGCACAAACAATCAACCCAACCTACTTCAGAGAGCTGTGCTGGTGGAGATAAGACGAAGAGCAGGAAGGGGAGAATGATGTAAGCCACTCTGAGTTCTTTAAAAAATAAAAAGGTGGGATATAAATCACACACACACAAGTGCCGTGTTTAAAGGATACTGTTCACATGTGACAAATGAAGTATTAGGCAAAAGGGTGCACGGAGAATTTAAAATTGCTTGAACAGAAATTTGATTCCATTCAAGTAACAATGAAAATTACACAGAGGGGTGTGGGAAAAATTAAAGACAAAACTGTACACTAAGTTGCCAAGATGGCTTTATCCTATGGAAGCTCTTGTATATCCAATGCATTGAATTTTGATATGATTGTGAGATATGATGATATTTTGGATAATGATGGAAGACTGAAACCGAACCAAGAATTACAAGAGCAGGGTATTGATATCTCTTGGTGGCATAAGGTTCAATACCCTTCAACACATGCATATAAATCTATGTTGGACCAAATCCTATGAAAGTTATGCAAATTGAAGCAGTAGTGTGGGGGGAAAATCCCAATGCTTTATTATTCCATAAAAAATGTCTCCTTTCTAAAAATTTATTGTTCCATAAGACTCAAGTTAACACTGTGCAAAGGCAACCCTAGCCTGTTTCTTGCCTCCCCTCTACAGATAGTAAGCTAAAGCAAAACTCAAATTACATCTGTGATTTTTTCCCACTTTTAGCAAATGCACAGAACAGGCTCCATTTTCATTTCTTGTGCTCAGGACACTAGACATGTTTGTACATGGTCTGTTAGTTTTTAAGATGCCTTTGGTTACTTTGAAAAGCTAGAGTATAGAAGTCTTATTGAAGAAAGTCCTCTAACTGGTAGATGTAAATACTGCAGGCAGGAGTGTGCTAACCATGTAGAAACAGTGAAGAAACATTTCACATGTTGAAACTATAATGCAAGAGTATGAGCCATACAGTGAAAGTGGAGGTGCCCCACGTCAGTGAAACAGAGTGGAACTCTGTTGAAGTAAATGAGGGGTCTTCCATGGCATATCACGGTTTCCAGTGCCCTTGGATCTTCCCTTAATGCTATTGGGTTCAATCCAGACTTCTTGTTTTGCTGGAGGGAGCACCCCACCAGTAGAGTTCCACGCAGAATCCTCCTCCTGACGAAAGGGGAGGCAATTTTGCCAAATCTTCCTCCCTCTGCAGCCTCTAGCATAACCTTCCCCACTGCTCTGGCCTTTCAGGGTCACAAAGGACTACTGTGGGAAGAAATCATTCAAGATCACTTCCCTAACCAGAAGTTGCCCTTCTGTCTACAGGAAACTTGCTGGACCCTTCCTTACTTGTGTTCCTTGAGTTTTCAGAAGTAATCCAGTAAAATGTAGCTTAAACAGACAATATCCAATGCTGCCCAAGCACCAGTGGGACCCACTGCTCACTAGAATTTCTGCTCATTTGGGGCCTGATGTTAAAGCTCCACTGTGGACATAGCGGGCCCCACCTGCACAGTGAAATTGGTGGGTGCACAGCTGGCCTGTTGGATACTACCCAATAAAGATGATTCCCATATAAAGTTCCAAATTTGTTTCAATAAACAAATTCCAATAAAACATTTAAACCATATTAAGGTTGTAAACCAATACCCACTTAGCAGGAAGCAATTCAATGATGCTTGTATAGGATGGTCTATTTTTTCCTAATCAAATATTTTAGTTCAAATGGTTATGGCTAGAGTCAAAGGATTGTTATGGACTTTAGTTGTTCTTTGTTTTACTAAATATAAATCAAGTGAACACCCTCAATCAAATCATACTCTGTTTAACACAACAGAAGTCTGGATAATTTTGAGCCCCATTAGTTTTAATCAGAGATTCAAATGCTTGCCAATGAAGTCTGCTCAATTTTAGGGTACTTCCGCAAAATTACATCTGAAGAGCAATAATCAACAGAACTAAAATTCAAACAATGTCTGATGGATTTTAGTCTGGCCATGTGATCAACTGATTTAAGTATCATCATTCAATTCACAATAAATCATGGATATCTGGAAAGAGATCATTCTGTACTTCAAATAAAGTAGTGGTATTGTTCTATTACTACTTAGGTAACATGGAGTGGAATTTCTAATAGTTACCATCACAGATAATACGGGATGAGTTTGTAAGATGGAAATCAAGCCAATAAGTAATAGCTAGAAAATGAAAAGATGAATGCAGGGAGGAAGTCAACTGGGAAGTGCAAGCATGGAGATTACAGATTTTGGTTGGGGTGTGAAAAGCAATGCAATCAACCTTCTACCGCCATTCAGATTCCACAATGTTTATTTTATGTTGTCTTAAACGAAATACAGTTCTCTGTCTCCTTTTCTCAGTTTGGTTGCAGAATATGGGTCACACTGAATTTTAGTCCTACTTAAGCTTTATTCATGTCAGCAAGTATACCGTAAGTCAGTCACAACTAATTTAAGTCCCATTCATTTCAATGAGTTCACTTTAAGTAGGACTACACTGGATAAATAAACCCTCTATGTTTATTTGGAATCAATGAAGAACGACACTGAAGTATGATGGATGTCATTTTATAACAGCATCAAAAGCTTCACTTCTGTTTATGCATAAATTAAAGAGAGATACATTTATTTTTAAGTAGATAGTTTAGGGGAAAAGTTTTGAGCGACTCTGAGAAGGCTTGACTACTACAGGCCTTGGGTACTTCAGAAAATAAATCAGAAAATGGATCATGTATTTCACTTCAATCATTATACATCAGTTCCATGTTCCTCCAGCAACAATGTTTTAAAGACTTGCTTTTCACAAGTACTAAGTGTGGCATTTTCAAATGCTGTCTATCAGAAAAATGACCATTTCCAGCAAATCATTCTTCGCTTCCCCCACTAATTGTAAGAAAGGAGTTATCCTTTCTACTTTTCCACAGGATTAATCGGAACCCAAAAGGACCTACTTTCATACAAGTGGTTTTAAGACTGCAATACTATACACTTCCCTGGGAGTAAGATTCACTGAACTCAATGGAACTTACTTCTAAGTAGATGGGCAGAGGACTGTGCTATTAGATTGGTATATCAAAATCACAACTTCTGAGTTCCAGCAACTCTACATGGGTAAGTAATGACACCACAACTTTCTTTGTGATCTGAGTTCTTCAGGTAGGATACACAATAAGTATACCTTTTTATCATGTGCTTATATTTCATTTAATTGAAATAATATTTCATTGAGCATTGACCAGAATGAAAAGACTACCGGCACAGTTCTATCTTAAACAGAAGTATTTCATTTTACATATGTACATAACATGCATATCTAATAAATAATTACCTGAATTGGAATCTGGGAAAGACAAATAGCAAATATTGGTTTTCTAGGGGAGAAAAATAGAAGTTACATTTTGGAGGGGAAAATATACTTTATAAATATCTTTTAAAGCTTCTACTCACCTCTTTATCTGTAAGTTTTGCATGCTGAGGATATATTACCTGCAAATTATAAAGTCTTCATCAGTGGAAAAAAGATAAAATAATTTGCTAGTAGTGGAAAGTTATAAACACTATAGTTAGCTTATGTCAAATTGTTTTCAAACTATGGAAACAGTTCTAATCTGTTGTTCTAACCCAAAGATTTCAGGGTTTGTTAATGGCTTTCTGGAGGTTTGCTTACATCCAGGAAGTCCTTTTTCCTCACAATTGTTAGTGTTATTAATGAATTAGTCCTAAGTTCAGCAGATGCAGGGAGCTACCGTTAAGCATACACTGAAGCAGGAGGGAAGCGGCATGGATGCACAAGGATTATTGCAGGTCAGGCACACTGCCCAAAACAATGATGGCTTGATTCAGATGTTCCAGAAAGGAGACACCGGTTTGGACTAGGACTGGGAATGTGCTTCAGGTTCCCATGCTTCTTCCTCACATGACAGTTCCTCACCATGTCTGAGTTGCTTAGACCATAGTGTGTCATGATGCCTGGGTACAGTAAGCACGGTTAGCATTATCCTCCAAAGAACTGTTTGCAAATCCACTTCAAACCATGTTTTCCTAGCATGATAAGAAGGTGAGCAGCCTAACCTACATCACAGAATTATGGTGAGGAAAAACTGGAGAGGGTGAGACAGATTATGTAAGTTACTTTGGGTTTTGTGGGTGGGGGGTGGGGACGGGAGATGATGAGGAGGAGGAGGAGTATTCGCAACATTAGAGTAACAACCTACGAATTGAAGAGAGAATCGGCATATAGAAAGAAGCATACAAGTCTGCAGCATATTCCAGATCCTCTTTAGCAGATTTTGCCAGAAAATTTGCAAGTCTCTCTGCGAGAATGCACATTATAATGAAGCATGAACTATGACCACAGTCATTAATTCATTAGTGCAGTTGTTTAACCACTCTAATATGATTACCCTTCCCAATCTGCAGTATGGGGATAAGAATACTAAGTTACAGTTCTGCTCTAAAGATAACATGAGGAATATGTGGAATTTTTCACAAAGCACTATGTATATTCTAAATATTATTTTGTAGGGAATCTGTGGAAATGCTTTATATTTTATCAGCCACACTGGGTGATTCCTCTGCTTTTTTGGGAGGGAAAAGCTAGATAGAAATGTTTTAAATAAAAAAGATTGCTATTTTCAATTACACATTTCCTTATGCCCTGACTATAATTCCAGGTCCAAGAATGCACAAAATTCAGTCATTAATTTAGCACATTTGCATTCACCCATTCCTCCCAAGGAGGCACAGTGGCATACATGCAATTACATACCCAAGTATATTCACATTAACAACCCCACAAAACTGGTTAAGCTGAAATAATACATTATGGATGGGTCTCATTGCTACCTAGTCAGCTTCATAGCTGGGCCAAGATTTGAGGTTTCATTTGCTACATTCAGATGTTGCAGCAGTCACTACATTATCTTCACTCTTAAGAGGAAGGAAACAGCAGCAGTTTTTTCCTTTTAGCAGCTCTCAGCTTGAGCTAGGCAACAACCCACCAATTGACCAGTGCTGTCATGAAAAAAGCATTTATTTATTTCCCCATGAAAGTTTATGGAAAACACTCTGTTGCTTAATTAGATTTGATCCTTGAGATGGGAGCCTAAGGTCATAAGACACTTATTTAGTTAAACTAGTTTATCATTAAAAAGGCACACAGATGCCCCTTTACTTATGGTGAGAGACAGACACACAAACATGCACAAGGTTCTACCATTCAAAGTCCCACAGTTCTATTGCTCATAACATTCTAATAAATTGAACCTTCACCTACAGTGTTTACATGAAAAGTTCTATGAAGATATCTAATTTCAAATTAATTCTATACAAATCGGCAAAGTGACAGCAAGGTGAAAACTGACACATTTATTCTATGCAACTCAATTTGTGATGAGGTAAATGAAATCCATCTGTCAGTTTGGACCCAACTGATGTGCTTTCTTCAGCCTTGCAAAGAAAAACATTCCTTTTTTGGTTAGGGGAAGTTCTGAGAGCATTTCTGAAGTTATTAAGGGCTTCCTGCCTCCATTAGAGTCTACGGCAGCAACCTCATCATGCTTGCTTTCATTCTGAAACTAGAAAACTATGAGTGTTTGCAGGGTGATTCTAGGTACAATGCCGATTTTCTTGATTATGGAATGTGCCCTCTTAGGGTCAAACTACATCTTACTACACATTTTGCGACACTAGCTTTGACTTTTTTTTTTAATCCCCTGCTGTGCTCCCAGTTAGCCCACTACATTTATTTTGCCAAAAAATGATCCTGTTGTAATATGGCAGACACTTTGGGGTAAGATTGAATGGGGATGATCTAAATAGGGAATCCAGAAGGATTAAATGCAATAAAGCCTCCTATTCCTAAGCTAAGGTCACAATCAATACTAGATCCTCTGTAATTACTCTTGAGTAAAAAAAAAAACCAAAGCAAAAACACAGCAATTATCCTCATCTTCAGTATAATGGCATTCAGGGGAAAGTCTAGGTGGAGGACGCAGGGCTCCCACTGCCTTTCTGAAAGCAGAAGCACCACACTAGGACCCTGATTCCTGGTCTTCCTTTCTGGCTTGTGGGAAATGGATGTTCAGGGATTTGACCTCATACGGGGTTGCTGCCCCATTGCACTGAATGTGTTCTCACACTATGCACACTTATTCAAATGAGGGTAAGAACCTATCTCTATGACATCATCCAAAACTCTTAAAGCTGGCGCGGGCAAGCAGGAAATGTGTGATGTCTTCTCCTACTTTACTCCTGACCGCCCCATGTTGGAGGAGAAAGTCAGAAGAGAAACTGTAACCACATTTTGCTGAACACAGGTTACAGCACTCCATGCAGCTGGGAACTTTGTGGCAAATTCTTTGATAATTCCTGTAAGAATTGCATCCACTCCAAACAGTTTTTAAACTTATAGAATTTTGATACTGCAATATCTCCTGCTAGAAAGAACTGGTGGAAACAACTGTATTCTATTAAAGGAGTGGAACAAGCAATCCTCCAACAGTTAATTCCCACTCCTCCTTGCAGCCCACTGTTCACTAGGAAAGCAAATGGGGGGGGGGTCACACAGTTGACTTCAGGGGGGAAGAGGCGCAGGGAAATAACTGTTACTGTTGCCCTGTGACTTACAGTATATCACAGAAGTGAGTACGCCCCTCACATTTTGTAAATATTTTATTATATCTTTTCATGTGACAACACTCAAGAAATGACACTTTGCTACAATGTAAAGTAGTGAGTATACAGCTTGTATAACAGTGTAAATTTGCTGTCCCCTCAAAATAACTCAACACACAGTCATCAATGTCTAAACCACTGGCAACAAAAGTGAGTACACCCCTAAATGAAACTGTCCAAATTGGGCATTATTAGCCATTTTCCCTCCCCGGTGTCATGTGACTCATTAGTGTTACAAGGTCTCAGGTGTGAATGGGGAGCAGATGTGTTAAATTTGGTGTCATCGCTCTCACTCTCTCATACTGGTCACTGGAAGTTCAACATGGCACCTTATGACAAAGAACTCTCTGAGGATCTGAAAAAAAGAATTGTTGTTTTACATATAGAAGGCCTAGGCTATAAGAAGCTTGCCAAGACCCTGAAACTGAGCTGCAGCACGGTGGCCAAGACCATACAGCAGTTTAACAGGACAGTTTCCACTCAGAACAGGCCTCGCCATGGTCGACCAAAGATGTTGAGTGCACGTGCTCAGCATCATATCCAGAGGTTGGCTTTGGGAAATAGACGTGTGAGTGCTGCCAGCATTGCTGCAGAGGTTGAAGGGGTGGTGGGTCAGCCTGTCAGTGCTCCGACCATACACCGCACACTGCATCAAATTGACCTGCAGGGCTGTCGTCCCAGAAGGAAGCCTCTTCTAAAGATGATGCACAAGAAAGCCCGCAAACAGTTTGCTGAAGACAAGCAGCCTAAGGACATGGATTACTGGAACCATGTCCTGTGGTCTGATGAGACCAAGATAAACTTATTTGGTTCAAATGGTGTCAAGCGTGTGTGGTGACAACCAGGTGAGGAGCACAAAGACAAGTGTGTCTTGCCTTCAGTCAAGCATGGTGGTGGGAGTGTCATGGTCTGGGGCTGCATGAGTGCTGCCGGCACTGGGCAGCTACAGTTCATTGAGGGAACCACGAATGCCAACATGTACTGTGACTTACTGAAGCAGAGCATGATCCCCTCCCTTCGGAGACTGGACCGCAGGGCAGTATTCCAACATGATAATGACCCCAAACACACCTCCAAGACGACCACTGCCTTGCTAAAGAAGCTGAGGGTAAAGGTGATGGACTGGCCAAGCATGTCTCCACACCTAAACCCTATCGAGCATCTGTGGGGCATCCTGAAACGGAAGGTGGAGGAGCGCAAGGTCTCTAACATCCACCAGCTCCGTGATGCCATCATGGAGGAGTGGAAGAGGACTCCAGTGGCAACCTGTGAAGCTCTGGTGACCTCCATGCCCAAGAGGGTTAAGGCAGTACTGGAAAATAATGGTGGCCACACAAAGTACTGACACTTTGGGCCCAATTTGGACAGTTTCACTTAGGGGTGTACTCACTTTTGTGGCCAGTGGTTTAGACATTGAAGGCCGTGTGTTGAGTTATTTTGAGGGAACAGCAAATTTACACTGTTAAACAAGCTGTATACTCACTACTTTACATTGTAGCAAAGTGTCATTTCTTCAGGGTTGTCACATGAAAAGATATAATAAAGTATTTACAAAATGTGAGGGGTGTACTCACTTCTGTGATATACTGTACATGCCTGTTGTTTATAAGACCAACAACACAAAGCCAGAAGCTTCTGCATCAGAACTTCCTGCACTACTCCTCTGCTGTTAATATACTAGCTTAGCATGGGAAAACTCCTCATTAGTATGATAGATCAGATACTGAAGACTGAATGGTCTACAATCATCCCCATGGGTAATACAGATTGGTTACAGGCAGTGGGAACTGAAGACATGAGGGTAGCAGGGTCAGATGGGCAGTAGAGGTCACAACCCTGCCAAAGGTTGCTTCACAGAACAGGCTACCTAATTTTTCACGAGCAGAAGCCATGAATTTACCTCCTTTACGGTCAACCCAACACAAACTCCAGCACAGCATATTGCACACGTTGGGGCTTCCAACATCCTAAATCCTGTGAATCAGCTTTAAGCAAGATTTGAACACTTTGCCTGCATCACGAAACACTAGTTCATTTCTTGAAATAACTATGCTGCCTTTCAAAACAAAGGCCTGCTTCATATACACAGCTGAAATCTTGTGCATTTAATTAATTTTCCTTTAACCCATCCAACTTCGATCCATTCTACTGTGCTATGCACAACAGTTGTTCCCAGCACTCATACCTTCCTTATTCCCTTTTGCTAAGGGAAGCCATGGAAAGTGTGAAGAGGAAACACTGATCTGCAAACCGCAATATGCTGAGGAATACCACAGTCACTCACCACCCAGTGCTGGTACTTGCTCTGGTTTGAAGACTTACATTTCTCTTTGCACTTCTCCAGTTTATTGAGCAAATACTATCCTGTATCAACAGTGGAATGGCCCTTAGCAGTGATGCTCACTGTGGGCATCATCTCAAGACAATCATTTCTCAGTTTAGCTTACTTCACTGGGATGTTACAAATATAAAATAATGGCACCTAGCCCACCCCAGATTCTTAGAAGAAAGCTGTGAAACGTGATCCAGAAATAGTGACAGAAGTTCCATTATCACATTGCATCGTGAACTTTGTTTCTAGTCATGTATTTTGCATAAGTTATGAAAAACAGACCTTGGACTCAAAGATACCTGGATTAGGAATTCGGATAGAGGTGGGCATCACTCAATAAAAAGCTGCTGTCTGTTCACCACCCCTTTCATAGAAGTGGCTCGCATTAACTATCACAGGGTTCTGCTTTCAAAATAGCGGGCATCTCTTTCAACCGGAGCCCAGCGGCTCTGAAAGCTCCTTCCTCAACCGCGGCTGCGGTCCCACGGGAAGAAGAAGTGCGCGCGCCCGCTCCTAAGGACGCGGAACATCATCATTTGCAACAAAAACAGGCGCCCCGATCTTTTCTTTTTCTTATTTTTAACGTAAGGCTGTGTCAGCACAAAGCCTCTAAAGAAACAAAGGAGTCGAGGCCGAGGGAACAGAGGTCCCGTCCGCAGCCCCTGCAGGAAGCCTCCCGCCTCCATCCCCGCGGCGCCCTGGCCACCAAGGCTCCGCAAGCCCCGAGGCTGAGTCCTCCGAGAAAAGCAAACGGCTGCACGCGGGAAAGCCCTCACTCCCTGCCTCCAATAGGGAGCAGCAGCGGAGTAGAGGGGCTTCCGGTGCGCCTGAGAAGCAGGCAGGCGGCCTGATTCAGCCCCAACGCCGGCTGGTCTTCGCTCACCTCCACAGCTTGGCCGAGCTCTAGATCGAAGCCCACGACGCACACGCAGTGCAACCAGGCCGAGAAGCGGTCCCACGGCAGCAGCGGCAAGCCGCGGGCGGGCGCGCCTTCGCCGAGCCCCTCCACCTCCGGGGAGCACACCAGCCTCCCGCTTCCGCCTTCTCCCTGCTCCCGCAGGGACATGGCGAGTGCCGGCACTGCACGGGCCACTCGGCCGCCGCGGCCGGCCAGCCGAGTCGCGCCCGCCCCGCCGCCCCGCCCCGCCCCGCCCCGCCGGGTCGTGTCGTGTTGCGCCGCGCCGCCCCGCAGTAGAGCCGGTTCTGGCCCCGGGCCGGCGGGCGAACCACGTGACACATGTCTCCGGGGCCGCCGCCGCCACCCCTCCCTCCGCGGTGGAAAAATCCACAGCAGCGAGGGGGGAGGTGGGAGGGGGGAGGTGGAAGACTCCAAGAGAGCAGCATGAAGGGGGTGCAGTGAAGGGAGTTAACTCTCCAGTGCAGCCGCCGGGAGAAGGGAAGCTTCTTTCCATCTAGCCAACACTCGAGGAAGGAGGATGTGAGGAATCTCGCGGCCCTTCGAAACACGCTTGCCCTCTGTATCAAATAGGCCTGTGGAGGGATAGCTCTACTTTGACTGCACAAGCCTGTCAAGCTCCCTGCCTCTTGGTTTCGCCATCCCTTTTCGCGTCCAGAAAGCGCGCCATCCACTTCAGAAGTTATATATAGCGCGCTAGGTCCGACAAAAACAGCAGCAGCAACAGAGCGAGCCTGGGAAATACTTGAAGGTCATGGCATTTGGCCCCCTCCCATGTACTGAGGCAGGCTTCCCTCCTCTTCAATGAGTCTAAAATAACATTGTCATTCAGTGCTATTATTCAGAATCCCAAATGCATCATTCATGCGTCTTGGAATCCTGTGTGTACAGAAATCCAGCGTTTATTTAGAGAGCAGTCCTGAGCACGTTCATGCGGAAAAAAGTCACGGCTGGCTGCAGTGGGCTGAGGGTTGTAGGTCCTTCTGCCTAAACACGCATAGGCTTGCATTTAAAGTATTTAGCACGCAGCTTTTCAGTCCCAAGTATCTCTCAGCAGGGCTTAGGGTGCAATCCTGTGTGTGTTTAGACAGAAACAAAACCTAGACAGAAACAAGGCCTGTAACTACAACAAACAAAAAGTGTAAGCTTTGTTTCTGTCTAAACATGCATAAGATTGCCCCCAACAGAGTTTTTCTTTAAAAACAAGAACACAGATTTAACGAAGCTTTTATACACTTTGAGCTTCCTGATTGGTTTATAAAAGGATAATTAACTATGTTACCTCTTCAGATGCTTAAAATAAATTATCTGCATGAATTGATCTTGGGAAAACATTCATAGCCCTATGTTTTCTTTTACTTTTTGGGAAAGCAATTTAAAACTAGTAGTACAGGATGACTGAATAATAACAACCGGAACAACAAATCATAGGTGCTTGACAATTAAGATTTTAAAAAAGAGCCCAGAGATGTCTGTGTATTTACGTGTAATGAATAAAGAGTATGACACATTTTCCATGTACCAATACACACACAAAACCCAGGAAATTACTTGTATGCCACTATCTGCCTCACAGTAGCTTCCTTTTCTCTTATATGTCATGCAAAGTGATAATAATCTTAAGTGTTCCATAAATATTAATTGTATTTTTCATAGAGTTATCTCTATTAAAATTAATTAGATGGTGTGCATATTTGGCTTTAATTGAAAATACCTTCAAAGATGCTTGTCTAGATTAAAGAAAAAAACTATCCTGCTATAATCTACTATGGGCACTTGCCCAATACCCATAACACCTTTTAATGTGGAAAACTGTCCCTTCTGGATGTTATTATTGCAAGACATAAAGACATAAAAGAAGCATTTTAATCCAGTGTATGTTCTAGCTAATGTAGGTTTTACAGTCAAATTACTAGCATAAAAAATAGAATAGTGCAAAATTAAAACTAGCTATAGGGAGCTAATTTTGATTGCACAAGGAACATCCTACAACTATAAGATGTTTTAATTTAATTCATGGTGGAGTTGAGTTCCTGAGTCAAAGGGTGTGTTTTATAAAGTCCTTGCTACCACATTGCAGGAGCAATATAGCCGGCAGATTCCCAGACTGGGCCCAATGCCTGAGAATTCAACAATTTCTGCCTGCTGAAGGGAATTTTTTTCTACAATGCGGGTGACTCCACCTGGTGACATCCCAATAATCTTGGAACGGAGAGCAAAATCTCCTAATCCAATCTTAATGCTTGGTTTGGAATGTATAAGGGAAGGTGCTCTGCTAGGTATTCTGGTCCTAAGTTGTCCAGGGCTTTGTATAACAAGACCGAAGTGGGCAGTGGTGGGTGTGGATGCGCACACGGCAAGTTCAAATGGGCATGGCAGGCTGGATAAATGGGCATGGCGGGCTGGATCCGGCCCGCGGGTCGTAGTTTGAGGACCCATGCTCTAGAGAATCATCCCAGACAGACAGATGATTAAGGGAAGCCAGAACAAGGGCACAGCAAGAGGGCAAAATTCCAGTGGGGTAACCCTGTGCAGGCTTCTAACTAGAAACTAAATTTCAGAGGGAAAAGCTATCAGGAACCTTCAACTCCTGCAGCCCACATTTAAACCAAATCCCTAGTAGATTAAACTCAGCCTTAGAAAGGGAGAGGAAAGCAGTACAGATCTCTGTACTTTCTAGAGCCACTGTATAGGCTTAGCTGGTAGGAGAGACAACTTTAAATATCAGGGCTTCACTTGGGTCCTGTGTAGGCACAAGCTTTAGGGTTTTAGGTAAACTCACAAACCAAAGCTCAGGAATCCCAGCTTTGAAAGGCCAGCTGTCACACACCTGGCACTTGCAACAGCAGCCCTTCACTAATCACCTGCCTATGTCAACCTATTTACTGTAAAATCCAATGAAAGGACATTTCTATTCCCAGAAGGGACAACTTGACTAACAGTTTACATTTGTTAACATTCATTCCCAATCACAGCAAACTAGGTTAGATTAGGAGTTCAGGCACAACCTACGTTTTCAAATAACGCCCTCCAATCAAACTGGCTGCTGCAGAAGTTGGACCAACTCACCTAGAGCTATTTAAGAAGGCAGACTTGGAAGGAACTAGTTCTCCAATGTAGAGGAGTGGTGGAGCAGCTCAGCACACAAGCACATTGAGCAACAGGGCATGGGGCTCTTGCTTCCTTTGCTAGGCAGAAGGCTAAGGTACAAGGAGCTTCAGAAAAGTAAATTCACCACCCTTTCTAGTAGGATAAATAAAGGAACTTGATAAAATCCATAATCCCACAGGTTTTTCAGGTGAATAAACTGCTTATACCAACTAAACCAATTCTGAAGGTAGAAAAACAGCAGGTGTGGCTGGCTATCTAGTGTATTGCACTGAATGTCACATGTATGACTGTTTGCCAACTTGATAGAAACCATAGGTGTGTCCTTGGTATAATGAGCTCCTAGCTCATTATGGGGAACATATTTGCTCCTCTGAAATCAAGGTTGCTGATCTGGAGAAGCAATGAGAAGTAGATAGGCTGGATGAGTAGGCCCCCAGGGACTAACTACCACTGTCTTAACTCATGGGTGGCAGTTCCTCTGCAGTCAAGGAGGGGATCATTTTGAGGAAGAGGGAAATGATCTTTTAGAAGAGACTCATTATGTGGAAACTGAATGTGTATCCCCTTGCACTGAAGATACCCTCAGTGACCTCCGGGGCTTCTGGTTGTGGGAAATTTGATCATTAGGAACATAGAACATTAAGTATATGAACTTCATGGTAAAATGCCAGTCTGGTGTGAAGGTTGTGGATATCACATGCTATCTAGATAGCCTTGTAGATAGTGTGGGGGTGGAGTTGGTGGCCATGGTCCAAGTTGTTGTTGTTGTTGTTGTTGTTATTATAACATTTCTATGCCGCCCCTTGCCGAAACCTCGGGGCAGCTTACAACACAATAAAATACATTGAAATACAATAGAACATAATAAATTACCATTAAATACAAAAATACACTGAGTTACAAATATAAAATTAAAATTATCAGTATAAAATAAGTAAATAAAAATATAGGAGGAGAAAAGAGAAGGAAGAAGAAGTTGCCCTGGCCAGATATGTTTTAACAATTAAAACGATGTTTAAATAAAAAGGTCTTTACCTGGCGCCGAAAAACCAGTAACGACGGTGCCAGGCGGACCTCTTTGGGGAGTGAATTCCATAGGTTGGGCGCCACCGCAGAGAAAGCCCTCCTCCGGGTACCCACCCTCCTAATTTCTTTCATGGAGGGTTCCCGGAGAAGGGACTCTCCCGCAGATTTCAAAGGGCGGTCAGGCATATACGGACGTAAGCGCTCGTTCAGGTAGCCAGGACCCAAGCCGTTTAGGGCTTTATAGGTCATAATCAACACCTTGAATTGGGCCCGGGCTTCAATGGGAAGCCAGTGAAGCTGACGGAGGACTGGAGTCATGTGAGCATGTCGCCCCATCCCCGTCAGCAACCTGGCAGCTCTATTTTGCACCAATTGAAGTGTTCGGACTGTCTTCAGGGGAAGCCCCACGTAAAGCACGTTACAGAAGTCTAGGCGGGAAGTCACCAGCGCGTGTGTCACCGTCGCCAGGCAGTCGTACTCCAGGTAGGGGCGCAGCTGATTAATCAGCCGAAGCTGAAGGAAGGCGTTCCTCGCAACTGCTGTCACCTGAGCTTCCAAAGAAAGCTCCAGGTCGAGGAGTATTCCTAAACTGCGGACCTTATCCCTAAGAGGGAGTGTTGCACCATTCAGGACCAGGTCAAATCCACCCTCTCCGAAACCCGATCCGCCAACCAACAGGACCTCCGTCTTGTCTGGGTTGAGTTTCAGTTTATTGGCCCTCATCCATTCCCTTACCTCGGCCAAGCACCGGTTCAGCACAGCCACTGCCTCACCTGGATTAGTGGAAAATGAGAGGCAGAGCTGGGTATCATCAGCGTATTGATGATTCCGCAGCCCACACCTCCTGATGACCTCTCCCAGCGGTTTCATATAGATGTTAAATAGCAGAGGGGATAGAATGGAGCCCTGTGGTACTCCATGGCATAACTGCCATGACGTAGAGACATGGTCCCCCAGCACTACCTTCTGGAATCGACTGTTGAGATAGGAGCAGAACCACTGCAAAGCAGTGCCTCCAACCCCCAATCCCGCAAGCCTATCCAGAAG